AACAACAACAACAACAACAACAACAATAATAATAATAATAATGACGTATAATAATCGATATTTTACTACTTGGTTTCAAAGATTCAGCTATTGGATACAAACATCACTGCAAATATTATTTAATTATGAGCACAACTAAACTTTAATGATCGCATGAACAACCTTCCATTTATTTCATAAAAGAGCATTCATAACTTTTTCCAGCCTGAAATAATCTTTGATATATTTCCAGAATTTATTTTAAATTCACTCCTTAATTATGCAATTTATTTCAAAGTAATTTGTTTCTTAAGAAACCTTATTTATGGATCCATTCAAATGGAGAATTTTCTAAATATTTGCGGATTGCATTTTAGAAATAAGTTCTGATTGTATCAGCTTGGAATTAAAAAAGAATGCATAATTGAAATAGCAATCTCTTGTTAATTGAATGCTTTCTTTTTATGTAGGAAAAAAATTTAATTCTTAATTTTAGGCAGAAGTTTCTCTTAGCCATCAAAAATGGTGAGATCACAATAAAAGGACAACTGTATTCGGATTTATTTAAATAAACACAAAACATGTACGTACAGTTCTTTTATTTATTTGTAAAGTAATTAAAAAGAATGAGATATTTATCATGGGTGAATAAGGCTTACTAAATGGGTATGAGGATTGGACAATATCAAGGTTAAGAGACGAATGAAATATTAATCAGTTGAAATTTAGAAAATATAGAAAAAATGTTTTCTAAAATAATGATACAATGGAAAGTAATATAGGAAGATGTAGCGAGGCCTAGTAAAATGTTTACAAGTTGTTGATGGAGAAGGAAAAGATTCTTTCTTTCTTACAATCTCTTTTCATTTTAGTTTTTGTTCATGACTGCTTATTATTTCGAGTGATTTAAGAGTAACTTAGAGTACACACTCAGTAGGATTTTTTTTTTTTTTTNTTAGAAAGAATAAATTGAATAGGAAAATATTCAAAGGGAATAAATTCAATGGGAAATACTTAAAAGAAATAAACTGAATGGGATATATACGGAAAAGAAAAAACGATGTCTATAATTGAAGGATCTCTAAGGTGTAATATAAATGATAAAGTATACATAATCAATCTCAGTATTTAATTTTCAAACGATATTGAGAAAATTCACACGAGCAAATGATAGAAAAAGGAGATGAGGAAAACACCTTAATCGATTAACTTAACTAGTCCTTATCCATTTTATTAATATCTCTTCCATTATTCATTCCCGATAACACCATCATTTCATTCACTCATTTATTCATTTTAAACAAATTCCAATCATTTTTTTAAATATAATTCGATGGAATAAATCTTTTCATTTTTCAAGTTAGTTAGTTAATCTGATATGATATAATAATGTTCTGCAAATATGTTAGAGATTAAGGGACAACGAAGATTTTATAATTCAATTGTAAATATTCGATCGAATTTCTACCTGTCCAATTATTCATCATTATTTATAGTTTTTGGTCGTTTCAATCTAATGCCATATGACATCTGAAATCTTAGCTTCTCCTTCCAATTCAAAATTTTTGAAATTTAATTCTATGTTCATTAATGAAAAATAAATGTGAACATTTGTAAATCTATTTAGATAATAAATTTCCAGCAAAAGGATTGTCGTTAAAAATATATACCAAAACTCTCCAAAAGCAAGTTTAAAATTTTTCATCAATGAAAATGGAACAATGCTTTATAGTAGAAATGCCATCAAAGCTTTACTAATAAAACAATAATTCGTAAGTTAGAAAATTAAATGCTAAATTATGTTTGAAAATGTTTTCATACTATGATTTAAAAAAGTAACTTTAAAATTTATCTTCTTGCACTTCAATTCATTGATTATCCAACCAATTATTTATCTAACAACAAACACACAGTAAATCGAATTAATAAAAACTATCAAATCAAATTATATCAATTACATCTTATATATGTGAAGAAATAACACTTATATTGACATATTGATAAAAAATGAAGCAGTAAAATAGACGCATTAAATTAGCACTAAAAATATCATTATCCCTTATTAAATATTAATAAAATTAAAAAAAAAACCAATCCCTTTTCTAATATCAATAAAATTTAATTCATCGCAATAGTCAAATATAAGTGTTATATTTTGTTTAAATTAATCTCAGCAGAATAAATAAATAATAGAGAAATTAGTAATACAAAAGAAAAAATTTCGGAAGCAAAAATAAAAGAAGTAAGAAAAGAGTGAGAGATTTACCTTGAATGGATGAAATTGATCAAATAAGAGGAGCAGACTATATTAATAAGAAGCAGACGATTGAGGTAGTGCATTGAGTAATAGCCGCTCGTGTTGCCACGATGGCCTGAATTACTCTAATCCTGCAACAGTGACAACTTGGCTAGCACTACTGAACACACTGATTTGGTTTCTGGTTGCATGTTCCGAATGCCTCTTTTCCTTATTTACTTACTCCAACATCTTTCCATCTCTCTTTTTCAACGAGAAATTTTTTTTTTCCTTTTCTTTTTTCATCTCTCTCTCTCCCTCTCTCTCTTTCTCTCTCAGAAAAAGTTACTTTTTTCAAAAAAAAAAAAATTTCTTTTTTAAATGAACGATAATACTTACTTCCTTATTCTCTATTGTTTTGCTGTAAATAAATGAAACTGAATAATTCAATTGAAAAAAAACGAATAAAATATATACTTATATGTTTGTTCATATGTATATATACATAGGTACACATTATATGTATATAATGCTTAAGACCATATATTTAAGTTAGGGTTGTAAGGCTCCCAATGCGGCATTATCTATGCGCATGTTTGTGTCAATGTCGGTGCCTATATGCATCGCATAATATCAGTATGTCATACTTTTCAAGCTTTAACCGGCTCTTTTGTGAAGAAATGAAGTTAGGAATGAAATGAAGTAAGTCAGCTAGCATAGCAGCATCTTCACCTCTCTCTCTCTCTCACATGACTTAACAAATCTAGCACTCAAACAGAAACTAATTTCAGTACCAATCATATGGGAATTTTCCTGCTTTCAAAAGAGAAAAAGGAAATAAGGGCTGTTATCCGCGAATAAGAAAATTTTTTTTTTTTGAGAGAGAGAGAGAGAGTAAAATTAGGATCAAAACTATCGTACCAAAACAAAATAATACAATAAAAAAAATTTTTTCAACTTATTAGTGCTTTGTATTTGTGTCTTAATTTAAAAGGTTTATCAAAATTCAAGATTCCTCAGAAAAAAAATTATATCTTTTCTTTCATTTTTAATTCTTGCGATGATATGTTAGCAAGTATGAAGTTATTCGTAAACCATCAATTTTAGAATTTTAGATTGGGATTCAGTAAACTGCATAACAAGGGAAAATAAAGAATAAACAAGAGTGCTCAAGTTAATTAACATTAATGATGACGATGCGTCCAATGGGATCGTCGAAGGAAATGAAGTTGCTGAGTAATTTAATTACTAGTACACATTGTTGTTGTTGTTGAAGAATAAAAGAAAAAAACCTATAAAAAAGTTGAATTTCATCATTTTTTGAAATTATCAAACTTTTGATTGGTACAATTTTAAACACAAAAAATGGAACAATCAATGACTGATTAATTACATTGTCTTTTTAAACTTGCTTCGAAAATTCCATATATTTTGACAGCGTGTATCCACCTAAAGTTGGGGAAAATTTTCGAAGTGTTTCTTCGAAATCCTTCATTGTTACTGGAATCTGAGCTACTAAACTCGACCTGCTAACAGCGCAATTAAAATTGTATAACTCCTGCAAAACACAAAATATGTTACTAATATAATTTCCAGCATTTTATGTTTCTTTATATCATATCCAAAATACCAAAAGTGGTATTAACTGAAATGGTATAAATTTAGCAACATAATGTGAGAATACTTTCCACGAAACTATAAAAATGTTAACAAATGGGGTCAAAGATAACTTTATGGATATGTAGCATAAAAATAAGGGAAAATAACTTTAAGCCAGTCGTACATATCGAGAATGCTGGACTCCAAAACGAAAAATGAGGAATAGGAAAACAAAGATAGCTATAGCTATGTACAGAAAGTATGATTCAACGATATCAACGTTTAGATAAAATTAATGAAAAATATCCAGTCATTAATCAGAATGTGAAATTAAACAGCTTTGAATAAAATGAATTATTGTGTTATGTGTAAAGGTATTTCAACTAGTGGTATAATAATTTTCAGGAATTGAATGCATATCGCCAAAAACATCCCATGAAGAATGGTAACGTTTATCATTTTTGGAGAAGATGCGTCCTGATGAGGAAAATTTTAAAATAGCTCTCATTAAAAGTCACAGATATCCCATTTCTCTTTCGGTATTCGGATACAGAAATGGGGAAATCAAAAATGCCAGCAATACTCAATAAAGTTAATTAAGTCTAATAATATTTAAATGATATGTTTTTTGCCTATAAATCATTTGAGCATTTTATACTGATGAGGGAATAATTTGGTAGTTTCAAAAAGAAACCTCCATGTCAAACGTAAAATAGTACAAGATTGCAAAATAATTGTAGGCAAACGATACATGATATTAATCTCCAAATAATGGAGAAAATAAAACCAAATATTAAAATTTTTTTTCAAAGAGATGATAAAGGGAGTTTCTTAGATGTAACTGTACCATGCTGAGATATATGCTAACATATGATGAATTCTAGCAATTTTTAATTTTGTTAAAAACTGTTAAAAACTTCGATTTGTTAGGAAATGTAAAAGAAACAGACATAGAATGTGAATAAATAATTGATGAAAAAAGTGGCACCTTGAACTTAGTAAAATGTAAAAAAGCAACTTCGCGAGCAAATCTTCTTAGATCATCACCACTGAAACCATCTGTTAAAGTTTCCAAAACATTCCAATTAATATCGCTCGATATAGTAAGTTTCTAAAAAAAACGAAATTACTTATAAATGATAAAAGTTTGAGGATTATAAAGGAGCCTTAAATTCTATTATTTCCCATCAGTTTTTTTCTAGCAAATAATTAGTGGAATAAGCCCAAACATACATTTAGGAATTTCTTTAACAGCATTCTTCTTGATGCAGCATCAGGTAAACTAACAAAAATCCTTTTTTCGAAACTGGAAATAAGGAATGATGATTGTAAAAGTCACTTTATTAATTTATAAATGATCATGTTTCAATCTATTATTTATCTGCAATTTTCTAAAAATGGAAAGCCCAATTTAGCCGTAACTGATAAGAACAGACCGTCTTAAGAAAGCTGCATCCAATTCCCATGGACAATTAGTTGCACAAATAAGCAATACAGAACTATGCGAACTATGCAGTCTTTGAAGTTGCAGAAATAGCTCTGTCTGTAAACTGGAAACAACTACAAATTTCAAAAACCATAAATTTAAATTTGATTCAAAACAAATACTGTTGCTGTAAAAGATCACTTCGCATTTGATGCGATTTAAGATGGCAAGTTTTATTTGATCATTCTAGGCAGCAAAATTTTCTTAGGAATCAAACAGCGATCTAAATTTAAGCATAAACATTTGTTTAAGCATTTATTTATATTACTAAAAGCGTTAATAAGAAGCAAAAGTTGCTTTCAAAAAGAATACACACCTTAACACGCCTAATATTATCATCTTCAGTTATCTGTCTGACCCGGCACAAACTATCAATTTCATCGATAAATATAACTGAAGCACTACTGTGGGCTAAAGCATGATCGAAAAGTTCACGAATTAATTTTTCACTCTGACCACTCCAGGTTGAAATTAAATCTGAGGAAGAAACCTGAAATGAGACAAAATATTAATCATTTATACGAATTCACTTCATTAAATCAAATTTATTTGTGAAATTTTTAAAAAACCAGATTTTTGCTTATAATTAAGCACACTTTACCTGATAAAATCTGGTATTCATTTCTCGTGCAATTGATTGGGACAAGCATGTCTTGCCTGAAATATATACTTTTTCCTATTCATTTTTTTTCATTTCAATTACTCCGATCAAGCAGACTTTATCGTGTATGGATTGCAATCTAATTGAAGTCGAAAGTTTCATAACATCTTTTTTTGCAAAAATGGTAAAATCCAGCTAAAGCAGCAATCATCTAGAGAACTGAATAATAAGCAATGAATTAGGAAATTATTCTTAAAATCATAAAAAAAATCTAACCGGTTCCTGGTGGACCATAAAGGAGAACACAGCGCCAAGGATTATGGCCTGATGTTGCAAACCATTCCGGATACAATACGGGATCAATAACGGCTTCCATTAGAGCCTTTTTAGCCTTAATATTATGAACTCATTAAATGGAGTAGAAATGGAAGTATGCTAACAATTAAAGCAGTGTTTAAGATGAAATGTAAACCTCTGTTTGTCCGGAAATATCGTCTATAGTGGGAAGTTGTGATTTGTCTCTAACAATGGTACGTTCAATAGCTTCTTTTCGTCCAGAACAAAAAGAATCGAGAGTTTCTGATGAAGTATCCTGGAAATTAATAATAGTCTCAGTGTTCCATCAATTACGTTTGAAGTTTGTGTCGAACTAACTTACTTGAATCTTTGTGCAGCTATAGAATTTCAGACCAATTTCTAATAAATTGATAATAGTGATCAGTTGATCTTTACTTCGTTCGGTGAATAGATTTGTTGAAACAGCAAACTTCGTCAAATAATATAGCAATGGTAGAATCTGAAATATTAACCTACTTGCTCTAACTCATAAATTCTATAAATTGAATTCACGGAACAAAGGCATACCTGTTAAGCAAAAAATTTTGCACCCTACAGCCAATGTAAATTATCAAATAGTGGATATTAATCCGCAGGAAAATCACTTCCGAAATGACAGATGGAAGTGATGGTGTTCTGTACTTCGAAAACAGTTCTTTTTTACTTCCCCAACATAAATTTACAATAATATGCAAAAATTTGTAAAATCTTAGAAAATTTTGGAAACTATTAAAAATTACCTTCTTGCGAATAACTGCTGATGACGGTTTTGCCTTGTTTGCTTGAAGGCATAAAATGTTTTCCAAATACAGCAGTATGGTGTGTACCTTTTCCAAATTTTGAGTTGCTGACATTTTAGTAAGGATGGTTAAATATCTGTAGTTGACTTTTTTTCTCTGTGAGAGGAACAGATAAATTCCTCTATTTACTTAAAAACTAAGCTAGCTTATGTGGAAATTTCAATGCAACACCTACAATTAAATTATGTTGAAGCATAGAATTCGATTGTCAGATGTAACTAATTAACATATTTGATTTAAACGTAAAACCCATGGATTACAACACTTCAGAGTTTTGCATAATAGATTTTACAAACCCACTTTTTCAGATCCATATCTCTAGCTATTGTGCTTCAGTTAGACAGACTGATTTTGAAAACTAAAAATAAATAGAAATCAATCTGTTGAAAGTAGCATTCTTGGGATTAGCATTTTCAATCATCACTTGCAGAAGTTTGTTAGTTAACGAAGCTTCTTGGATCTGTCCAATGCGAAAGATCAGCTCAAAGTAATGCGTATGTTAAGTGAAATTTCAATTTCACAGTGTATTTTATAAAAACAAATAAATTTAAATTATTCGTAGAGAAACGTACCACACAATAATTATATATATTTACAAATAATATGCAATATCATCATTTTTTATAAAAGAGACAGTTTATACATGACAGTATCCTAAAGAATCAATATAAAAAAGCAGTTGAATATTTGTACATTAGAAAGATCGCTGACCCATTCATTGCTTATTTCTTTAGATTTTTTTCTGAAGTTGATATATGCTTTGAAAAGATGCCTCCAATATTTTGGGAAAAAAGCAAAAAAGATGGATACATGAAATATATTTTACAAATTTTATCAGTTTTTTATAGAATCCTTTCATTGCGCTTCAAAGAGTACCGACTAAAATTAAGTACAGTTAAAATCAAATATAGTTATATGTATTTATTCGTTCTCTAAGCATGCACATATTATAGCTGAATTGTTGCGCTATGTTCAGAGCTCTATCTGTTAAGAATAAAACATCCACGAGCCGCGGAAGCAAGCAATCCGCTACGGTAACTGTCAAACCTTGATTACCTGAAATGAAGTATATCAGAAATCTCACGAATGACAGGATTGATAAATACCATTATCATGACGATTTATCAATAGTAATCATTAGTAGCTCGAACTAAAAATTTCTGGTTTACTCGTTAGTTTGGCAAAAATCGATATTATTTTAGAAGTTCTAAAATCTAAGTAAGTACATTAACTTTGCTTTATGTGTTACCATATTCTCATAAAACCCCATATATTTATATATATTTCAAAAACGTTCTTAATAAATGGTAGAAAACTTGCGAAAAGAGATAAACGATAGAATCTCATCCCTTTACATGTTGCATAAACTATATGTATATAAAAACATTTCGAAAAGAGCACCACTAGTTTTTGCTGTAACTTGATATGCAGCACAAACAAGGCGATTTACGCTTATATAATATGAGAAAACCAAATCAGGTGGCAATGGAGGATTGAAACATCGTGACATCGTTGAATTACACAATTCTAATAAGGTACGTTTTTCTGGCACGCATAATGTTGAACGTGCCTGTCCGATTAGGCTTGTTACCTGAAAAGTAAAATTGTTGGAATGGTTGAAAATTTGTCGTAGAGTTTCTCTTGTTGGAGAAAATTAATATTCATATAAAGGAAAAGCAGAGGAGTTTAAAATTTTAGATTTAAGTTTAGAAATTGATATAAGAAATAATCGAATACAGCCAAAGACTACTAAAATAAAAGAAACTTTACCTTAGCTACAGTAGTGGTAACGCTGGATGACATCTTACCAATATCATCAGGTGATATTTGCCTAATCCATTTCAGTCCCTGAAGAATAGTTAACGCCGGTCATTTAAGACTACATTTCTTAAAAATAGCAAAAAAATGAAAAATTAAGGCATAAAGAACTGACTTGAACAAGCATACTTAGAGCCTTAACATAGTAATTATCGGCATCTTGTATCTGCTGCAATTTCCACTGCACATCGGGTTGTGCAACTCCGCGGTAAACACCACCAGACATTTTCGGATACTTGATTGTTACCTAAAAATCAACTGACCCAATTAAAAAATTATCCTGCATTTGTGATGCTTGCAAATACTTTATATTAATCAACTGACAACTCATGACAGAATAAATAATGAGTTTTATCCAACTTTGAAAACTAATTTTGGATCTTCATCGATGGTACCTCAGTTTGTATAACACTCTCGCCAAGCAGAATAACAGAACATTTGAATACTTCCGCTCCTGTTCGTTGCACTAATGAAAGTTTTTCTGTCGTTGGATTTTCTGCTCCCAACTTGATTGAAGAATCCACTTTAGCAGATAGATTCATCTTTTTACAAATTTCCCGTAAAATATTTTCCAGCTAAAATCTCCGAAAATAAATAAATTGTAGTAAAAAAATGCTAGTTTTGAAAACTTTAAACATTTCTGACCATCGATACATATGATCAGCGAGTTGATACTAATGATCACCGCTATAAACCTCTTTCTAAACATTCGATATCAGGTAGTACTGAACTTATTATCACTGAAAAATCTTTTGAGAAATACCTTCGTAAAAATTTCAACTATTTCCAAATTTTGAAACCATTGTTGTTCAGCTAAAAGAGCACGTTTTATCAGTAATACTCGCTCTTCCTTCGATTCTGGAAAGTTTCTCTTGATGTCATCATCATCATGTTCATCATTATCACCATCACCATCATCTTGACTTGATTGTTTACATACAGTTTCACTGGCAACATCTGCCTCATTCATTTGATTTTTTAATATATGCTTATCTGTAACATTAACATTACCATTTAAACTATAAGATCTATTATTATAGATTAGCAAAGTAGAATCAGTGCTTATTCACTGTCACATTCACCAATCCATCTCAAAAATTCCGTAACGTCTCTTAAATTTGCGAATAGTCAGTCAATCATTCGTTTACCAACAGATTACCCTCCTCCGCCACATAGCCAAAGCAAACTGTCCTAACCTCATCAGGCCTTAAAACTCCTTGTTCTCAACCATTCCAATCTTACTCCTAACTTCATTAGGCCTTAAAACTGTTTGTCCCCAATTATCCCCACCTTACTTCCCAGTGATTCACTTTCACCACAAATTTAAGAAACGCTTGACTTACGAGGAAGGCGGGCAGGGACACTGCGCAACGTTAACGAATCTTTTCATCTGTGGTTACTTAGTCAAAAACGTTTGTTGACAAATCATTTGGGGACAAGCGTGACACAGTTTACACTTATGATTGGGCGATCAAAGTATTTCAAACATTCCTTTCTTCCAATTTCCATCTTTTATTTGTTGACATCAATTGAAGTTTTCTAGTAGCAGTTTTCCTTTCCTTCGTTTTGTTTTTTTTTTTTTTGTTTCTTAATACAGGACAAAAAATTCTTTCCCGAGAGGAGAAATAAAAGAAGGAAGAGAACAGACGAGTCAGATCATCACAGTTACTATTTACTCTTCTGTCTATTTAGCATTTAGCATTCCATCTTCTGTACAAATGCTTAACTTGCACAATTGCTTAAACGATAACCATTTATATGAAGAATGAGGATTAAAGATGTATGATCATTACCTATTATGCTTTATTTATTTCGTTTCAGTTTCATGTTCTGTTAAGCCATCAATGAAATCAGAACGATGCCATCACTTACAGTATTTGTGGTTTGTATCTTTTTTTTTCTCCTTTAAATTTTAATGTAAGTATGGTCGTTAATTGAGTACGTACAAACTATGTGCATTGAATAGTTGAAGGAAAATTCACTAATAACAGTTTCTTTTAACAAATAAACATTGGTTATTGGAATATTATGCTTATTTGGAATTTATCAAATCTACAATTATCTTTGTGTTAGCAGCATAGATATTCTTTTCTGTTTAATATTGCTATAACTTAACGTCACATTGAAATAGTACTGATTGGCTAGTTTTAGCTGTGAATCATCACTGCAAATTGCTGTAGAATAAGATGTAGTTAAAATTTGAGACACTAAATGATTTTGATTTGTTAGTTCATCAAATTTCAAATATCAGTTGGTTTGCTAAATCAATTATCATTTGCATAGGTTACTGGCGCAAACAAAGGGATTGGTTATGGGATCGTAAAAGGTCTTGCTGAGAAGTTGCATGATGCAGTCATTTATCTTACAGGTATTACTTGAATATTACAATAAATATTAATTGTAATTTATTAGAGACACTTATTGTGAGGAAAAGAAATGAAAAGCATATTAATGAGTTAGTCTTTCCTTTCGTAAGTTGCTTTATAAATTTTCTTGCTGCGACAGTACATCTTATATTGTAATGGTCAATAAACTTCTTTTCTTTTTTTGATTGTTTGAGTTAATGGAATAGAAATTTTCTTCATCTTTTATTTTTTATAGCGAGGAATGAAAAATTGGGTATGGAATCACTGAGCAAATTAATTAAAGAATTGGGTGATAGGCGCCATTCGGACATTCGTTTTCATCAGCTTGACATCACTGATCGTAATAGCTGCGAAAATTTTGCTTCCTATTTGAAAAAAGAACACAATGGATTCGATGTATTGATTAACAACGCAGGATTTGCTTTCAAGGTGATTAAATAGCTGATACAAGTTTTTTTTATGTTTCATTTTGAATCGAATAATATTGTAATTAAGAAATAGAATCGTGATTTGTTGTATACTTGATTTGTTGTATACTTGATTTGTTGTATACTTTGTTTTTGTATAAATGATTTATATTTGAGAACAACTTAATTGGAGCAAATATTAATGACATATTTAGAAGGGATAAATTTATTAAAAGTAAGAGAACTTAATTAAAGTCGTTTATTTTAGAACGCTGCAACAGAATCACCAGAAGAACAAGCTCGTGTGACAATTGCTATCAATTACGACGGTACGAAGCAAGTTTCTAATATATTGTTTCCTCTCATTCAAGATGGTGGAAGGTTAATTTTTTCAGATTTATCAGTTAATGAAAATCTTACTGCATTACAAAAAACTTATTTTTTCGCATGACTTAAGTAGTGTTAATCTTTATCTTTTCATGTTAATTCCAGTTTTTTATTCAGGGTTGTTAATGTAAGCAGCTCAGAAGGTGTAATTGCTGGACGCTATAGTGATGAGATTATTGCTAAACTTACGAGTCCTTCGTTAACAGTTGATGATATCGACAACTTCACTCGTGACTACATTAAGTAAGGTTTTTGATTAGATGACTTTGTACTTTGAATAGAATATCACAATTAAATAGAAAGAAAACTAGTTTGAAAAGAAATGAAAAGTAATTTCAAAAAAATTTTTTTTCTTAATAGAATACCGAACAGTACACAGAAGGTTTTTGAACAGTATTTTTACTATACAAAAAGGCAGTGTTGGTTTAGTCATTAAGGTACTATTCTAGGGCTTGTGTTGGAGATAAGCGAGAAGAAAATGGCTTTCCTAAATCAGCATACAAAGTATCAAAAGCTGCCGAGATAGCACTCACATTTATTCAGGCGAGGGAACTGAAACCTCGAAATATTTTGGTAAACGTGGTCCGTAATTCTTTTCTTCATTTTCTGAAATTCAATTCATGCTTTAATATCCATTGGTGAAAAAAGTAACCTTATCTCTTTTTTCAGTTTTTTTTTCCTATACAAGTAAGTTTGTAGCCATAGCGAGGGAATGATGTAGTGAGAACATTTATTCACTGCAATTTTCGAAAGGATTTATGAAGATAAATAATTTTCAATTCTTTATTGGAAATTTTTGCAGTGTCATCCCGGATATGTTGATACTGACATGACAAGTCATCGTGGTCCCCTGACAATTGAAGAGGGTGCTGACACGCCTATTTATTTAGCAACATTGGAAGGCAATGGACCAACTGGAAAATTTTTTTATAAGAGAAAAGAGATCGATTGGAATCTTCCATTTGTCAGCAGTTGATTTTGTGAAGTTCGCTTGATTATTTTTGTTTAATTGTCAAGTTGTTTTTTTTTGCAGTGAAATAAAAGGAGATGAAGTAGGAGAACTGTATTAAAAAGTGCACATGCTTTTGACTGTTAAGAAAAGTTCATTTCAGTATGTTTAGTAGTTCGATACACTACGAATGGTATTTCCCGGGACAATTAATCAGTATTCGCTTTCACTAAAAATTCACTTTAATTGATTGTAGTAATGCTTACTGTTGTGAATTTTTATTTTTTATTTTTATTTTGTCGAGAAAAGAGATTTTTGACAACTGTATTACTGGACAAAGTAATGGTTTATTTTTTGCAAAGGATTTGTGAATGTATCATAGTTAGAGATTCAGTAAATGAAGATTTTCTTCTTTTTGTTGACCATTGAAATAATTGTTTAATCATGCAAACGAAAATTGATAAGAGGTAGAATGAGTTGGAGGGCAAAACTAATGATCGCTGCTGAGGTGACACTCCCCTTAAGATAATCGAGTCTAAAAATTGATCTTTAGATTTCTCTCTGCTGATTTTGTTTTCTTTTTGAGTTGGATGGATATTGAATAGTATTTAGGATAAAGTAAAAATCATCTAATAAAGGAAGTTAGTGGTAAACGAGGAATTGTAATGTCTGACAATAACATTGGCGATGTTAAACAAGGAAATGAATAGGTCGTATTTTATGCTTGTAAACCGAGAATCATATCTCGGAGAATAATAAAGAATCATATATTAGACAAAAAAAAAAAATGAGGGAATAATTAGAGAATATCATATCTTCAGACTAAGAAATTATGAAAAATATTGGCTAAGAATTGTAATTCGTTTACATTAATATCAGTGATAAAAGGATATTTTCATAACACAAGCAATTTTATAATACAAAATTATTTCTATTTTTCTGACAATTTTGTTTGGAGAAAGCTTGATTTCGGTAATTGATTTTTGAGGAGAGCGAATTATTTAATGAAAATTAGTTTTCTTTTTCTTTTTTTCTCTTCTTGGACATTATAATACTATTATCTTTAATTTATTAATAATAGAATCGATCACTTGGTTGACTCGTTGGTTCGAGAGAGTATAGAGTTTAGGACTATTTGTTGTAAGTAGTTCAAGAGGGATTTGTTTAGATGTAGATAATAACTGTGTAGATATAACACTGTAAACTTGGGATACTTTTTATTGATGAATATAATACAACAAGATGAGGTTTTTACTGAGTTACTGTAAAAAATTTGATGGATTAAGTTAAAGAAATCAATACTATCAGTACTCCATTTTAGCCCATTAGTGCAAATTTCGATAGAATTTTTTCCGTTTTTGGTTATAACTGCATTGGTACCATATATTTGCTAACTGACAATAAAACTTTATCCTTACGAAATGATTTATGTGAAGATATTTTTTGGCTATTATGCATGATATGCGTAAGTAAAATTGTTTATTTTTCGTTACAGTTCTCAAATAAATAAAAGAAAAGTGAGACTTTTTGGTATCATCGTAGACATGAATGAACTTTGTAATTTAAGAATCCCAAGAATAGTTTATTACTCATGAGCCATATTTTCAGCATGATTAATAGCTTAGTTCTTTCTTGCACCAACCGTTAGAGTACTTGCAGTTTTGATACAAGCAATCGCTATTTTATCACACTTATAAATGCCTTTATGGATGCATTTCCCGCCTTTATGGATGCATTGTCTTAAGCGGTATTTAATATCATCTTGCCTTATCAGTATTGCGGCTACGTTTGTTAATGGATTCAAATTACAACTAATTGTTACTGCTGCACGCATTATTTCGGAATAGTGAGTTGTTGGATCGTCATCGTCATCGCCTATCAACAATTTCGAGCATAACGGTAACACGTAGAAGATTAATGTAAACACGCAGGAAACGCCCATTGTAATAGTAAGTTTACGTTGACGTACTTCAAATAATCGTAATGATGCTTGCTAAAATATACAGTATTTGAGTATTGCAGATCATTCAGAACGGTTATTCCTCAGATTTTTGAGAATGATTTGGTATAGCAGTCATCGATTTCGTTTAATCTATTCGGATCAAATTATCGATATTAGTATTTCGATGTTTTGGATCTGATGAATTATTTTACATAGCAGTTACTATTAATAGTTTTCTAGAAGTTTCAAGTTCTAACTTTTTAAATGCATAATTTTTGTTTGTTTGTTTGTTTTAAAAGTATCTTGAAAATGAGCTAAATTGGAATATTTAATTAGGCCTTCATTACTATTATCTACTCATTACGATCGATAAAATGTGGTTGCAGTTGCAACTTTTGATTGCAATATTTGAATTCAAAACTAAATTTCAGGAGTAGTAAGGACTCAATCCCAATCGAGAGAGGAAATGAACGATTGAATTGGTTAGAAAAACGGCAAAATGCAATATACCGATTGGTTGCTTTTTATTCGGCAAAGATGTTTCCTGCTCATGAAGTACACAATTACATAGAGGATGGTACTTAAGGATGTGGTAGCAATCATCAATGAAGCATGCGAATCAGCAAAAAGCGGATGCAGAATATCACCTGACCTGAAAAGGCTCCTTTTATAAGATGTTTTTTTTTTGGATTTAGTTTGCTGAATTATTCGGTAGTGAATGAATTTACTTACCAACAAAAACAGTGCAATAAGGATTCGTTATCTGTGAAGGAAAAAAACCAGCCAATGAAGACGAATAATGAGATTGATCCGAAAAAGATAATAATCTAAAAAAAAAAAGGAAATATCTTTTACCTGAAATTCTAAAATCAAGTATGTTTTATTAAATACTAATCCTTAACTTTGATCATCACTTGACAAATTTATAAGAAATTTCAATTTATAGATTAAAGAAGTTCAAAATTAAAAAAAAAATGTCCCAAGATTTTTACTTAAAAGTTTGAATTTTTAATGCTCTATGTTAAAAATAAAGCAAAGATTAACCTGTCTTATTTGATATGAATAATTCTTTTCAAAATATCGCATAGGTGATATAAGCGAAATGATGCGATCTGTACTCACCATGAGAGTCGATGTAGCTGATATTAACTCTGACCTGAGTCATTTTTGTTACTTATAAATTAATATTAGCAAATATATGATAGAATGAATGATGGAAATCTACAAATGAAATAATAAATAAAGGAAAAACAAACTACAAGAAATTACCATATAGTAAAGATAGACCATGGTAGCAATAAGCAAGATCGTCTGGTTGTTCGATGGCATCCAAATTTCATTATAATTAGACGGCTAGCACCAGCTAGACAAAGCCCAATTCCCAACATTGTATCAGCAAAAGTCTTTAAATATGAAATATCAATTTGGTTAAGTAATAAACAAAAGAATCAATCATTTGATATGATCTTAACTGATTACCTGCGCAAATAAAATAACATATTGACGTCTAAGATATCGATGTTTGATTAATACCATTTCAACTAAACCATTGCTAATGATAAGGAGAGATCCTTGAAATATATAGATGGCAAATGTAGTTATTAAAAATATCTGTCTATTTTCTATCATTTTGCTGCTATCTTCATAACATTTGTACTGATATTCACTACTGAAAATGCAAATTACAATTAAATTGAACCAGAAAAAAAAACTGTTTGGTAATTTCAAACAATCAAATTAGAAATTTCGAAAAAAAAAAATCACTATTGCATATATTTGTTTGTTGAAAAATCAACGAGTAAACTGAGCGTGTTTATTGGCTAATATAATAAATTTACAGAAGCGGAATAAGCATTTCTAAATCTTTTTATAGCAAAAAGAAATCGCTTCAATGAGCTTAATGAAATGGCTCTTTCAGAGTATGCAATGTGTTGTATTAATGACAATTAATGAGAATTGAGAATTGTTGTCATGTGAATGGCTTCTTTGTTCACCATTATAATTTTTAAAACGAAAATATCCATATATGATGTAAATAATAAGCTATGCTAATTACATTTGAAATTTATTGCGAAAATCTCTTTCTCATAGTGTGACCACAAATCAGCTTTATTGCAAAAAAAAAAAGTATTTGAGCAATCTAAAAATCAATCTCTATAAAATAGCATTTGAGATAAATTGAAGAAATAAAAAGGGACGAAAAAAAAACTTCTATTTCTAATTACTGATTATTTACATTTCTTAATATTGAATTGGATGAGGGAAAATAAATGCTTATACTTTGCTAAAATTTAGATCATTACTTTCAAGAAAAGATAAAATGGCACTTCAGTGATAAATACCTCAAGTTGATAATAGCGATAGAATTGCCTTGAAATTTAAGTTTTAAAAAAGAAAAAATAATAAGAGGGAGGAGTCCATCAGGATTAAAAGTTGCAAAATTGATTGTTTGAGGAAATAAAAAATTTGAAAAATTTTTGAACAATTTTTTTTTGCTGATTTTCCACTGTTATCATTTCATTGTTCATTGAAATATTAAATTGCACATTAATTGTTAAACTATAATTCACTTATCTTAACAAAAAAATTGCATACTTACGAAAAGAAGAATGTGCCACTACTATGTGAATTTCGTGAACTAAAATTTTTACTAATTTCATTGCTAACTTTATTCCTAATTTAAATGAATTGAATATTTTGGTCAAATAATTATTTCTTATCGAATGATCGAATAACAAAGTAATGAATTAAATATTAAAAATTTTGCAAATATCAAATGTGTTATAAAAAATGAGAAAATTTTCCTTCAAGAGATTCTCCTCTTTTATAAGCTATTCAATTCATTTGGCTAACAGGATGATGGCCTGTATTATCAATTGATAAATTTCTTCATGCCACTTACTGGCAATATTTACCTATAATTAACATGAAGAAGCTTGGCATTGCTCATGTGATGATAATAAAGAAATTGCCACATATCTCAAGTCGAACTAATCAAATTACTTTTTTCTCTCTTCTTTTACATATTATTAAAATTAGACATCAACAATACATTTATCACATTAATAATTAGTATAACAGCTTAATATTCTCAAGATTACAATTATTTAAAATTTTTTTAATGATTAAAATCTTGCAAATAATAATTTAAATATATAATGATTAATGTTGAAACCAATATATCAATATTAAATTTTGTCAAAAATATTTAGACAGTTTGAAACTGCCGAAAAAAAATTTCTTGCAATATTGATTCGAAAAATACAGAATGAAGAGTGATAATTCATTCATAATGAACAGATTAAACGAAAGCATATTTTAAAAGATTTAAAAAAGTCGTTATAAATTTATTGGCAGAAATAAGCAAAAAAGGTAATTGATGTGAACAAATGATTAATGATGGCCGAGGATTGAAATAATTATGGTTATAAACTGCTTTCTTTCTTTTATTTTATATCACTTCGATGAATGTTAACAATATTAATTAGCAAAAATTAAATCCAATCACTTTTTTTCATCATTAAAA